CCCACGTTTCCTCATATCTCTCATACCTGAGCTCCAGATAGTTATCTAATCTTTCTGAAGTTCTTTCTCAAATTCAGATCTTCTGGCCTGTCCCTTTTGCTGAAGAAAAGCCAGAAGGAGCAGTCACTGGAAGGTCTGCCAGAGCCTAAGGCTACACTCACTGGCTACTTCTTCCATGGGTATCTTGACATTGGCACCAAACCAATGTGACACCAAGGGAATGGGGTTGACTCCTGATTTCATGCTCCCCGTCTGTTCAGATTTGACTTTGCAGTTGGTTGGAAGAGACAGGGGTTGGAGGACAAAGAGGTCCCCAGTGACTCCAGCTGGTCAGAGGAGTTGAGCTTTTCACCAGGGAACACTGAAACCAACACTTTTCCGAGATCATTCCCTGAGGCCACGCTTCTTCCTATTTTCCCCTGTTACCATTTATAGGGGTTTAAGCCAATAATCACACTCTCCGTAGAAGCTTAAAATCAGCAAGAGACCTTATTGATTTTCATACACTCATTCATTTAAGATATTTATCAAACACTTTCTTGGTGCGTGAAAGGACAAAAAAAATTGGGTTACCTCGACTATTGTGGCTGGGCGGCTTAGTGTTGGCTCATATTTTTGGCTCCCACCCTCCTACAAAATTTCTCATGAACAACACACTCCCAGTTAAATGTCTTTTTGTTCCCTAAACCCAAGGACATTTGAAACTTAAAGTTTGTGTCTTGAAACTTTGTTTCACAGACCTTGAGCTACTCTCCTTGCCTATGTAATCAACTATCTGGCTGCTGCCTTCCTGAACAGCTAGTTGTCATGACAACATCAACCCCTTTCCCCCCCCCCATTATATTTCACAGGAATGCTCCTATTCCAGCCTTCTAAAAGCAGCCTTACAAGCACCCAGCTTCAAACATTCAGTGCCAAATGCTTCTTCGGTGTTTTGCCCCCTCTTCAGTCTTGAGGAGGTGAATCGACCTTTTTTTCTAATTTACCTTCTAAATAAACTTTTTATAACCTACTTCTTGTGCAACTCTTTGCATCTTTCCTGCGACACTGGCACACCAACCTAACATATGGTGGTCTGTACAGAGAGGGGTGAAGCCTCATCTGCTGTCTCTCTCTCACTCACCTCTAACTCAAGTCTCTCTGTGGACTGTGCTGAAACTCAAAATGCAACTAACTGTTCTGGCCAGGGTTGTTCTTGGCTCGCTCTCTATCCTCCTCTTATTTACCACCTGATCCAAGGAGCCACTTTGGCAAGAACTCCTCATCACCTCAGCTTTATCCAGTACAAATTTGCATCACCAGTGAGTTCATGCACTACCTTATTCCTTACTAAAAGTTCTGAGAACCAACCTGAGAGGCTGCTGGTTCCTAACATGAGGTTTTGTTGGGGCTCTGAGCTCTCTGAGGAAATCTTGGCGGCAAGTGTTCCAAATTAATGTTGGTGCAGCCTTACTGCCGGACAGAAGGACTGCCTCTAAAGAGTCAGAGGTATCAAGGGAATGCCCTTTCTCACCTGATGCCCACACACTCAGGCTAATTCCATCGATTTACTTTGGGATGCCAGCTGAAGATGTGAATGGTATCTCTCTCTTTCTGGCCTCTCAGGGACCATTCTTAGGATCAATCCCTCTCTCCCTTTAGGATTCCTCATGGGGAGCCCTCAAAATGGGGTGGCTAAGAGCCCCTCCATTAAAATGCATTCTAGAAGGTCTTAGGACCCTCTCAGCAGAGAGGAGCATCTGTCTTAAGCACCTCCTCAAAACCAGCTAGGTGACTGGAAGGTGAGACTCAAGGCAGGTCTCTTGCCAGTAATATTCTTCTTCAACTTGACCTCTATTGCCGCCAAGGGGACACATGGACCAAGGTGCCTTATTAACAAGCTTTTGTCAAAATGGTGCAGCACCCAGACCCTTGTTCATCCTCTGGCACACTCTTCCTAATTCCTTCTTTAATTGCTTTACCTCCTTCGTTCTTTTTCTCTAAGTTCTCCAACCCAGTCAACCAATCTAATCCCCCTTTCCCATTTTCAGGCTCCTCCCTATCCAACTCCACAAAACCCTCTCCCTCGCTGCCTGATAACACCCCAGTGGCAGCCACAGTAGCTGCAAAAAAAAAATGATGTGTGTGCCGCCTCCTCCTCCTACCATCTCCTCCCTTCACCTGCCCACCCTCACTCCAGACATGTCTTTAAACCTCCCGAACCGTTCATCAGCTTCCTCTTAGGGAAGTGGCCAGAGCAAGGGGTATTATTAAAATTCGTGTTTCCTTTTTCATGATAAATATCTCTCTTAAATTAAATTTAAACTGGGATATCAGCCCTCCTCCCCAACTAAAAGAAAGGGACCACATGTTGGTTAAGAAATCACATCATGTCAATGAATGTAAAGCACAAAAGGAGAGGAAAGCATTGAGGAGAGCAGCATGGCCCTAGGAGAAAGTTGAACAGGGAGCCTGGCCCACCCAGATAAGTCTTCCCTCTTCTCACTCCATGCTGGACAGAGCATATTCAAGTTCTTCCCAACTCCTTTCCATCCCCTCTTTCCTTTAAGAGAACCCAAGAAAGTTCTTTAATGTCCCATGCCCAAGGACATGAAAATTCTGTACCACTTCCCCCCCTTTCAAAGCTCTAGGCTGAGTTTGGTGGCTCAGCCTGAAATCCCAGCACTTTGGGAGGCTGAGTCGAGTGGATTGCCTGAGCCTGCAGGTTCGAGACCAGCCCAGGCAACTTGGCAAGACCTCGTCTCTACAATAAATAAATAAATAAAATTAGCTGGGCTTGGTAGCACACGCCTGTAGTTACAAAGTTACAACTACCTGGAAGGCTGAGGCGGAAGGATCGCTGGAGCCCAGTAGTTTGACACTGGGGTAGCTGTGAGCATGTCACTGGGCAACAGAGTGAGACTCCAACTCAAAAAAAAAGAAAAAAAAAAGTTCTACACCAAAGTTTATGACCATGTGTCCACTCCTACAGGTAGCCAAACTGACCCTACCCCACCTGGCCCCAAAACTGGGCCAGTTTCCTAGTCTCCCATAGCTTCCTATGCTTACTTTCTTTAAAAACATGTGGCATGAGCCGGGCTCGGTAGCTCAGCCTGTAATCCCACGCCTTGGGAGGCTGAGGTGAATGTATTGCCTAAGCCCACGGGTTTGAGACCCGCTTGGACAAGTTGGCGAGACTTCATCTCTACAATAAATCAAAAATCAGCCAGGCGTGGTAGCACATGCCTGTAATTCCGGCTACTCGGAAGGCTGAGGCAGAAGGATCACCGGAGCCCAGCAGGGTGAGGCTGCAGTGGCCGGGAGCGGCCACTGCACTCCAGTCTGGGCAACAGAGTGAGACTCCAACTCAAAAAAAAAAAAAAAAACACGTGGCATGGCATGGGGATTTCTGCTGAACCACATTTTCCCCTTGCAGAATTGAGCACCTTACGGCAAGGACCTTTGGAGTAATCCTTGATTTTTTCAATTTCCACCTTCAGAATGTATCCAGAATCTGAACAGTGCTGATCACCACCCATTATTACCCCCACTACACCTCTAGTGATCCGTGAGCCACACGTAACTACTGAGCACTTGAAATGTGCCCACACGTGTGAGAGAACCAGAAGTGTAAGACAGACGTTGCATTTCCAAGACTTGAAACAAAAGAAAAGACTGTTAACTCACTCAATAATAATTTTTATATTGTTGAAGTGATATTTTAGATCTGTTCTAATAATATATATTATAAGTATTATATGAGACATGATAATTATAAATATAATACTTTAATAATAAAATGTATTATTAAAATTAATTTATCCTTCTTTTTACTTTCTTAGAAGTGTCTACTAGCAAATTTAAACTACACATGTGGCCTATGTGACATTTCTTTAGACAGCGCATCCCTGGGGAATCTCTTTAGCTGTTCTCTTAGCTTCCACTCCTGCCTGTATCCTACAACCTGCTCTCCACAAAAGCAGCCAGGGTGATCCTTTGAAGCATACTTGGAATCGTCTCAATCCCCTGGTCAAGCTCCCCTCACCCCTAGTGGCTCCTTAGTACATTTGGAACAAAGTCCAAAATTCTACTCATAGTCTATTAGCCCCTGTTACCTGCTTCCTGCTGTCTGCAGGCCCACATCCCCTACCACTCCTCATATCAATCACTGTACTCCAGGTCTGCTGTCCCTATACTGTTCTTTGAGCAAGTCAGGCTTGTGTCCATCTCAATACCTTAGTGTCTCTTTTAGGAACTCTTGGTCACCAGATTTCTGCAAGCTACTCTCCTTCACTGCTTTCAGATTTCTGCTCAAATGTCTACCCTGATCATCTCATGTATACCAACATTCTTCTCCTTCCCCTTCCACTCCAACTCAACTTCTCTACTTCAGTTTCCTTCACATTGCTTATCATTGCCTACTAATGTATTATATGATATAGGTGGATGATAGATAGCTAGATAGATGAGATAACTAGATAGATAGATGAGATAGATAGATAGATGAGGTAGGTAGGTAGATAGATAGATAGATAGATAGATAGATAGATAGATAGAAGATAGATTTTAGAGACAGGGTTACTATGTTGCCCCAGATGGTGTGCAGTGAATATTCACAGGCATGGTCACAGCGCACTACAGGCTCAAACTTCTGGACTCAAGCAATCCTTCTGCTTAAGCCTCCCAAGTATATGTGACTACAGGCATGTACCAACATTCTCATATATGTTGTGTGTGTGCGTATGTGTTTGTGTGTGTGTGTGTGTGTTTCTTTATTTTCTATTCATTCCCCAATAGTAAGTGAGCTCAAACAGGAGAAGGACTTTGTGTTCAGTAAACATTTGTTGAATGAAAAAATGAGTGAACAAAAGTAGATAGTCAATAAATATTTGGTGAAAAAATAAACCCAGGATGTAGGAGTTCTAAAGTATCTAAATAAGGCTTTCAGAACAGCAGGGGTGAGGTGTATCAAGTTTGGGGTTGACCACACAGAAAGAAAAAAGTGCACAGACACCATTAAGAATTTTTCACAAACACATTTATTAACTTTCACTCTCCTCAGGCTTAGCTAGGATTTGGTAGGGGAAGGAAGGGCCCTTCTTGGGGACATTGCTGGGAGAAGACCTCAGAGAGCTTCCTACTCTTTGTGAATATTTCCATGGGTAGTTTCCAGCATAGAAGCTATCAGGGCTACGAATTCTGGAAAGTCGACTTGTTGATTTCGATCAGTATCCAGACCTTGGAATATTCTGTCAACAGTAGCTTGGTCTCTGGTATTCTAGGAGAAAGGCATAACAAAGACCTTGAGTTCAGGACCTCCACACAAAACACTTTCTCAGGTCTCTCATACCTCAGAGCTCAGCTTAGGGAGACCCAGGATCATTAACTAATTAGCCAACACTGTGTTGGAGAAGCCAATGCAACAAAATAGAGAATGCCACTGTCATGAACCATCCTGGAACCAGCAAGGCTTTTACCTAGGAAGTACCCTACAGCTCACCTAATCCAACCCGCCACCCCACCTCTCTCCATTTTATATACGAGGAAACAAAATCCAGAAAGAAGAACTGAGTGGAGTCTTAAGAGATAGAATGAATGTTGAGAGAAGGAAGCAGAGGCCTTCTCCCACAGCAGGGAGAGAGTACCCATAGAGGCACAAACTGGGGCCAACCCCACCCCAGTCCTTTTCCTGCCATCCTCCTTCAGGCCCTGACACTCCCCTCAGTGCAGGGGGGTGGGCGCGTTTGCAATGAGGGGCATCACCTACCTTGAGGGTGTTTGATAGTTCCTTTGTCAACAGCAGCTTCATCTCACCCTTCTCGAGTCTGTCATAATGACCCCCGCGCACTGAGTATTGGTGGAAGATATTGATGATTCCCTCCATGTGTTCTTCAAGCTTAGACATCTTCCCAGCCTCTCGTTAACCTTCTAGGAAACAAGGGAGGTCCAGCAGCAGTTCCTCCCCCACATCCCTCAAGATCCTCTCTCTCCTCTCTTTCTGCAGCAAACGTTTTGAGAAAGCATGTCCTTTCTGTCTACTTCGTAGTCTGTCTGTTCTGTGTTTACCCATGGTGAATTTCTCATTTGTGGATAGGATGGGGACAAGAAGGACATGTAATACTGTCTAAAGTCTAAAAGAATCAGCTTCAATTGCCCATGGTGTCCATACCACCTCTTCTATCAGTGAGGAGAATCTGGAGGGTACTGCTCACTCAAGCTCACCCAGGAAGGGTTCTGTGGTGTTGATACTTTGGCTGCACATCCCTTACAAATGATCCTCACCCTGCCCCAGCTTGGCCATCCCAAAGTCCTCAGGTTGGGTTTACCTAGCACAGCAAGGTGTGATCTACTTGGACCCAAAATGCAATGCCAGCCTAGAGGTTTTCAGCAAGGCGGGAAGTGTGACTCACAACACCCAGTGTTTGCAAACTGGCCACCTGCAATCACCACCCTATGGTCTACCTGAGGATTCAGTCAAGGAAAAGGCAGTCACTTACCCCAAAATGCACTGGACTGTGGAGCTCTAGCAAAAAGCCAGCACTGGTGAAAGACGCTGAGACAAGGAGGCTTTTATAATCAGTCCAGGCTTCACCTTCAACTTCCGGGTGAAGAAATCTCTCTGATTCACCTTGAAGCAATTGCTGGGCAGCGCTCTGTTGCTCAAGAGAAGCTTCAAACTTGTGGCTTTTACTGCAACAGGAGCAGCTGAGATTGCACCCAGCCTGAATTACACTCTCCTACTAAGTTTAAACAAAAACTCCCCAACACACACACACACACACACACACACACACACACACAGAGAGAGAGAGAGAGAGAGACGTTCTCCACCTTTGTTTAACTCTGAGCCTAGGCCCAGTCTTCAGGTTTACCTTCACCCGCTGCTCCCTAAAGAAAGGCTAAGAAAACAAATTTCACTGCCTGGAAGGCTCCTTTCTGAAAAGGGAAGAAGAGGGAAAAAGGAGGCATTTGTTAAGTATCTAATATAACAAAAATGGTAATGTCAATAAAAAACAACCAAAGTGAACATGTCATCCTCGAACAAGAAAAAGGACAAAGTATGAAATTTAGTTAGGAAAAATAAATAACAATTCATTAATTTCTACAAATGTATCATGTTAATGTGAAATGTTAATAACAAGAAACTGTGTGCAGGTGTATAGGAACTGTCTATATTATCTTCTCAATTTTCATGTAAATCTAAAACACTTCTATAAATAAATTCTGTATTTTAAAAAAAGCTAAGGTGTCCTGGGCACTCACAAAATGCCAGACACTGCCTTACCCTGACTTAATTCTCAAAGCAGCACTGTGGATTGGGTCTTAATAGTATGCCCACTTTACAGATATAAAAAATGAGTTCGTTTGCTGCCCACAGAATGGGAAAAAATATTTGTCAACTGTCTGTCTGACAAAGGCCTAACATCCGGGATCTACAAGTAACTCAAACATTCCAAAAGGAAAAATACAAATAATCACATTTAAAAGTGGGCAAAAGATACGAATAGACATTTCTCAGAAGAAGACATACAAGTAGCCAGCAGGTACATGGAAAAATGCTCAGCCTCAGCCGGGCTCGGTGGTTCAGCCTGTAATCCCGCACCTTGGGAGGCTGAGGTGAGGGGATTGCCTGAGTCCATGGGTTCGAGACCCGCCTGGGCAACTTGGTGAGACCTCATCTCTAAAATAAATCAAAAAATATCAGCCGGGCATGGTAGCGCGTGCTTGTAATTCTGGCTACTCGGAAGGCTGAGGCGCAATGATCGCCGGAGCCCAGCAGGTTGAGGCTGCGGTGGCCGGGAGCGGCCACTGCACTCCAGTCTGGGTGACAGAGTGAGACTCCAACTCAAAAAAAAAAAAGTGCTCAGCCTCACTAATCATCAAAGAAATGCAAATTAAAACCACACTGAGATACCACCTAACTCGGGTCAGGATGGCCATCATCAAAAACTCAAAAAAGCAATAGACGCTGGAGAGGATGCGGGGAAAAGGGAACACTTCTACACTTTGGTGGGAGTGTAAACTAGTACAACCTCTGTGGAACAGTGTGGCGGTTTCTAAAAAAATCTAAAAATCGAGGTTCCATATGACCCTGCAATACCCCTTCTGGAAATATACCCGGAAGAACTCAAGACACTCTATGAAAAAGATACCTGCACACATATGTTTATTGCAGCATTATTCACAGTAGCAAAAACGTGGAACCAACCATGCTGCCCACCAAAAGTGGATTGGATTAAGAAAATGTGGTGCATATACACCATGGGACATTACACAGCTACAAGAAAAAACAAAATTATGGACTTCGCAGCAACTTAGACGGATTTAGCGTCCATAATACTCAGTGATCTGTCACGGAAACAAAGAACTGAATACTACATGTACTCACTCAAAAGCGGACCCTGAACATTTATCATAATACTATAAGAAAGGAATTGGCAGTAGTGGGACACAGCCGGGGGGAGGGACACATAGCATCAATAAGGGTATCTGATCTCAAACCAGGCAAAGTGGGGACCAAGGGGAGGCCCAAATTTTACCTGTACGAAGGCCACTTATGTACCTAACCCTGAATTGTGCCCCACATCTTTAAAATTAAAAATTTTTTAAGTGAGTTAGAGTGTTAAGATCGATACAAAATAGGTATACATCTTATGGAGAACATGCAATATTTTTATACACCCATACAATGTGTAATTATCAAATCAGGGTAATTAAGATATCCACCACCTTAAACATTTATTGTTTCTTTGTATTGAGAACATTTTAAATTTTTTCTTCCAGTTATTCTGAAGTATCTGATAAGTTATTGTTAATTATCGTTATTCTATTATGCTATCAAACATGATAACTTAATCTTTCTATCACACTGTATTTTTGTACTCATTAACCATATTTTTTTAATCCCTGCCCCACCACCACCACCACCCTTTCCAGTTTCTGGAAGCCATCATTTGACTCTCTACCTCCATAAGATTATCTTTTTTAGCTCCCACTTATGAGTGAGAATGTTTGTCTTTCTGTACCTGTCTTGTTTCATTTAACCTAATGACCCCCAGTTCCATCCATGTTGCTGCAAATGACAGAATTTTATTGTTTAGGAAGTCAAATTGTCTCTGTTTGCAACTGACAAGATCTTATATATGGAAAACTCTAAAAGTGCCACCAAAAAAATGCTTAGAATTGATAAACAAATTCAGTAAAATTGCAGAATGCAAAACTAACATGCAAAAATCAGTACTGTTTCTATACACTATGATCTAGCAGAAAAAGAAATCAATAAAACAATCCCAGCCGGGCTCGGTGGCTCAGCCTGTAATCCCGCGCCTTTGGGAGGTTGAAGTGAGTGGATTGCCTGAGCCCGCGGGTTCGAGACCCGCCTGGGCAGCGAGACTTCATCTCTACAGTAAATCAAAAAATCAGCTGGGCGTGGTAGCACATGCCTATAATTCCGGCTACTTGGAAGGCTGAGGCAGAAGGATCGCCGGAGCCCAGAAGGTCGAGGCTGCGGTGGCCGGGAGCGGCCACTGCACTCCAGTCTGGGCGACAGAGTGAGACTCCAACTCAAAAAAAATAAAAAATAAAAAATAAAACAATCCCATTTTCAATTGCTAAAAACCCTGGGAATAAATTTAACCAAGGAAGTGAAAACTCTTTGCAAGTAAAACTATAAAACCATGATAAAAGAAATTGAAGTCTGAGCATAGTGGCTCACATCTGTAATCCTGGCACTTTTGAAGGTCAAGGCAGGAAGATTACTTGAGCCCAGGAATTCAGGACCAGTCTAGGCAACATAGCAAGACCTCATGCCTACCAAAAAAAGAAAAATCCAGAAATTAGCCAGGCTTGGTAGTAACATCTGTAGTCCCAACTATTCAGGATGCTGAGGTGAAAGGCTGGTTGAACCTAAAGAGTGGAGGCTGTGGTGAGTTGTGATCTTGTCACTCCATTCCAACCTGGGTGACAGAGTAAGATCCTCGTTCAACAAAAAAAGAAGAAGAAAAGAAAAGGCATTGAAGAGGTCACCAAAAAAATGGAAAGATATCAGGGATTGGAAGAATTAATACTGTGAAACGACCATACTACCAAAAGTAATCTACAGAGTCAATGCAATCCTTACGAAATGACAGTCTTCTTGTTTAATTTTTTGTTTTTGTAGAAACAGGGTCTTACTATGTTACCCAGTCTGTCTGGAACTTCTGACCTCAAAGAATCCTCCTATCTCTCTGCCTCTCAAAGTGCACAACCTACCACTCCAGGTCCCAATGATATTCTTCAAAAAAACAATTCTAAAATTCATAAGGAACCACAAAAGACCAGGAACAGCCAAAGCAATCCTAAGCAAAAAGAACGAAACTGGAGACATCACACCACCAGACTTTAAAATGCACTACAAAGCTATACTAACCAAAATAACATGGACTGGGAGGGTGGGAGAGGATGCATAGACGAATGGATCAGAATAGATAAATAAATCCATGTATTTATAGCCAACTGATTTTTGATGAAATTGCCAAGAACATTCATTGGGGAAAGGACAGTCTCTTCAATAAATCATGCTGGGGAAATTGGATGTGCAAAAATATATAGAGAGAGAGAAATACATCTCTTACTATATACAAAAATCTAACTAAAATTGATTAAAGATTTAAATATAAGACCTGAAACATGAAGCTACTAGAAGAAAACATTGGGAAAATGCTTCAGGACATTGATCTGGGCAAAGATGTTTTGGGAAAGGCCTCAAAAGCACAGGCAACAAAAGCAAAAAGAGACAAATGGAATTGCATCAAGTTAAGAAGCTTCTGCACAGCAAAGAAACCATAGAGTGAAAAACTCACCTACAGAGTGGGAGAAAATATATATAAACTCCCCATCTAACAAGAGATTAATAGCCAGAATATATAAGGAACTTA